TTCCTTTTCCTTATGTTCAGGATTTACTGTCTTCCCATATACAACTGAGCACAGGAAGTTTGGATGAGGCTGGCTTTGTGCATGTTCTTCTGTCACCAGTATGTTTAGTTTCCCTGCAGAGTCTTCCATTGCACCTCAATTTTTTTCACCCTTTCTACGTCGCCAAAACTAACAGCTTGCTTTTACATTAGACTTTGCATACTCTGCTCCCAAATCTCCTCAGTAAAACTAATATAGTTGGTTTTCAGTACTGTTTCAGTGCCAAGTACATCACTGAACTATCCAAGCTTCTGTTAACTGATGCAATTTCTAGGCTTTCTAAATGAGAACAGGGCATAGAAAAAAGAAGTTGTTTTGTTTTTTTTAATGACAGCCTCAGAAGTTTATAATTAGGAATCAATTTAATCTGCTTCTGAATAAACTCATATAATAAATAATAAACTCATTCAAATCAAAACTTAATTTTAGCCAACTGAAAGAGAAGATTTTTCTTTCACTGTGAGAGAGAATTTCAGTTAATTGGAAGAAATGTATTATATAAGTATTTAATTTAATGAAAGCCACTGTCAGTAAGAAGAGAAGAGGACTGAGTAGGTATACCTTCTGCTTGATTCCAAAGTTACACAAAAGGGCAAATTAGTATATAAATAGACTACCACACTTTTCTGGTTCACCAATAATTACTTCCCATGAAAAAGAAGAGGAAAAAACCCACTTGTGCTCCCTTCTGTTACTCCTGCAGTGAAAATCCCTAAGTACTGTTTTGTCTCATTTCTCACTTTCTCATTCAATATATTCATCATGAACCTGCTAAAACACTCAATTCCTACTTCTTTGGAATGTCTCCTCTATCCTCCATATGTTTTGTCTTTCAATATCACTTTTGATCTTTTTGTCTCTTCTTCAAGATTCTCTAAAATTCTGTAATTGTACAGAATTCTGTAACATATTTGGAGAATAATATGTAGCATGAAGGTCTAACTTTTTTGAGGCAAAAAGATATGATTAAATTTCTAACAGCAATCATATGTTCAAGAGTGCTGTAATCATAATAATGTCACTTGCTTGCTCAGATCATAGCTTTGTGACCTTCTATTTCTTCCCTGGATGGAGCACTTATGATTATAAGTGAATACAGTATTTTTAATCTGTTGAAGACTTTACTATCAGAGTACGAGTGCACATTTTGTGAGTAGGTGACCACTTCCATTTATGCCAACACATCACACATATCACACTTTCTAGACATCATTCCACCTCCTGCTGTATGTTTCATTTCTGCTGGACATATGACTCCAAAATATTGGCATGAAGAGGGAACTGCTGTCTGGCTCATTGTTCCACACAGCAATCACAGTTCCAGACTTTCTCTGTTCATCACAAAACTAAGTATTGAGAAGACTGAAGATGTCATTACTTGGTGTCAGTAATAGCAACCACAGGTTCACAGAAGACATAAAATCACAGAATCACAGAATATTAGGAGTTGGAAGGAACCTTGAAAGATCATCCAGTCCAACCCCCCTGCCAGAGCAGGATCACCTAGACTAGGCTGCACAGGAACACGTTCAGGCGGGTTTTGAATGTCTCCAGAGAAGGAGACTCCACAACCTCTCTGGGCAGCCTGTTCCGCTGCTCCGTAACCCTTACATGTGAGTTAACTTTCCAGTTCAGTTTTAAATCAGTATGTGTATTTTACAAGTCTTTGCAGATTGGAAGACAAAGAGAAGAAGTGATAAAAACATCAACAACCTCTAAAATTAACAGGAAAGGAATAATAAGAAACACAGTGTGCCTTTAACATGGGATTACAGGGGTAAATACACGGTCAAAGAGTTTTTTTAAAAGATTTTTCTAGAACCTGGTGTTCAGTTTTTCTTTATTTGTGAACTGAGAGCTTCCAACTGTGCTCGTAGGAGTAAATCACGGTAGGCAGGAAGTTCTAACACACTACAATGTGTTAAAGTAATATCAACAACAGCAAAATAATGTGGCAACGTGGGAGCCTCAGCATGCATTCATGCCAAATGGTTCATGTTGAAATGGAAAACACAAAGATTATTTTTCAGTGACAAAAGAAAATCAATACTTAAAATCAATGCCAGTCATGGGGAACAGTGAGAATAAGTAACAAAAGACCATAAAGCACCTTTGGGAACACTCAAAAGAAAAATGCAATAAATATAAAACCATTATACCGAAATATAAGCCTCTTTGCCCTACATTAGGATAGATTTGCAAGTCAAAATAAAAAACCTTACTAACACTAATTTCTCATTATGCCATTTCCAGCCACTCCTAAAAATTTAAAGAAAATTTAGGTGTCTGACTTAAAGTTCTTCAAAAATACCAGATTAACACCTGCCATTCTTGCCTATCTCTAATGGTTTAGTCTTATTCTTTGTTATTCAACAACGCCCTGTTTGTGTGAGACAAAATGAGTTACAAAGGCTCTGCACAGAGCCTGTATGGGATCTCTGTCTGAATTATTGTTTGCTCAGGAATAACACCAGACCTGCACTGCTCCACAGGCCATTGCAATGCTCTGCTTAGGCTAGCAAGGCCTGTCCGACTGAAACCCCTGATCCCATCTGTGGGAGTAAGCAGAGTTATACAAAGGCCAAACTAGTAAAACTCAACAGATCCAGCTAGTCCATGTGAGGTGTCTTCCAAAATCTGTATTAGAGAAGTTTTTATGTTACGTACCTCCATCACTCCCTGCTTTAGAGAGCTGGATGGATCTATTTGTCAACTTAGACAGCACAAGCCTATCTTATTGGAGTGCCTCTAAAGTAGTTAGTATGTTTAAACACCACAGCAGTCAAATCTAGGAAGGATACACTTTTCCACCGTAAGGAATGTGAACTAAAGCAAAGATGCCTACTAAGTCGCTTTCTCAAGGTGTACAGGAAATTTGTGCTTGGCCAGCAAGCTGAACCCAGATCCCCAGAGTCCCTCCCCATTCCCTTAGCCACTAGGATATTTCCTCTCCTGATGCACACTGTTGAGGAAGCAAATTCTAAATAACTCAATACATTGAAAAATTGGAGTTTCACTAAAGCAGACCTAAGTAAGTGTTGAAACAGAACTTTTAATAATGTTCCCTTTCACATTTGGAGCAGTAATATTTACAGAGCCCAGAGAGGAATTAATAAAACCAAACTTACTGCAAAATTTAATTAAATGATACAGGGCAATAGAGAGTCTTCACTACCTTTTTCTAAGAACTCCATCCTTCACAGGATATTGAATGACAATATACTTAGCTAATAAAGGTCAGAAGAATGTGTATTAATTGGATGTGTCCTAAAGGCAGGATATATATTCCTTAATCTGATTAACTCTTCCCTAGATTCAGATCTTCTGAAGGAACAAAACTCACCCAAACTCTTAGAAAATAACTACCACATCTCTCACTAGGGACTTAATGCGTAAAGAATGCCTTTAATATATTGTGAAGGCTTTAAATACATTAATTTTGTAGGAAGTCTATTTTATTTTCACTTTTGATTGATAGAACTGAAACAATGATGCATGGTGAGATGAATAAAGGTGTGTGGGTTTATCCAGACTTTCAGATTCTGCTTTCTTTGGGCTGTATTTTAGTGTATATTTCATGAGAATAAAGCCTATTTTGGGCACTATCCTAGTAAATAATATTTTAACACACTGCTTTTGTTTGGATTGCTTTCCTTGGACCGACATCCAGCAAGGTCATAGATTACTGGAAACCCTGCAAATATTGCACAAAGGGATGAAGAATAAGAAGAAAACTGCTAATTGAGTTGCAATTACAAAAAGCTGCAGCACCCACTGATGCAGGAGGTTTTTGTTGTCTGGAACACAATTTGCTGTGTGTTCACATGATTCCTAAAAAGGGCAAGAATGCAGTATTACTGACAAAGGCAGACCAGATAAGCCAGATGCTATCTTAACTTTGATCTGGTGGAGTTTTCATTCTGAGTTCAGCTACATTTTATCCATATATCTGATACTGTTACTTGAGACCACCACAAATAATGTTCCTGCTGTTGTCATAATCAAGAATTAAATTTGGGAAGAGGAATTATCAGTTAAGATACATGCTATAAATATAAAATATGGCAGTGGCTTGACAAAGCAGAGATATTTAAGAACAAACAGCTTGTGGAGGGGATGAAAGGTGCTTGCCAGCTTACTGTACAATGCTGCCAACAAGTATGTGTATTTTAGTTTACACATTAAACCAAACATAACTAAAACTGCCAGCAAACATCATGCTATGAGATTTCTAGAGTAGATTTGGCTTTCTACTCTGAAGAAAGTTTTTTTTTTATCCAGAAGTGATATTATTTAAGTAGCAAATAAAAATTTGAGCTGCTGTACAACGTGCTGTAATAAAAAGGTATTTATAAAAATTTTACTTATCTTAGTCTGGATTTATTTGAACAAGGAGGACAGAGTTTTACAAACTCACCTATTTACAAGTAAGAATATTAAATCTGGAAGTTTCAAATACTGCATGGCTTACTACTTATGTGCCTTTTTCCCCTTCTTCTATGAGCCTATTTCCAAGATGGAACAAGAGAAATGAGGTACTTCTGTGTTTACTATGATTAGTCATGCTTCTTGGTGTATGTTATTGTATTTTGCAATTAATAAACAAGCATTTCTGTTGTGAATAACCTAGGAGTGGAATCAGTGTGTATATGAAGTCTGAGAGATAAAGGGTGATTACTTATGTTATTTTATATTTTAAAAGTCTAAAATCTTTCTCTCATGAGCACACAAAACAGAGCCTTTATAAGGAATGCATTTGTCTAATCTTCTCTCTTTGGATGTGGTATATCCTTTTTTGTTGATCTGTGATTTTTCTGAACAAGCCTACACTGCAGAAAGCAATGGATTTAAAGAAAGTTATGACTAAAACTATTGCACTTCTTTCTCACCACAGTCTCCTTATGCCAACATTTGAGTAGTGCTGGTTACACACACTGATTTATTAAAAAGCAGTGTCATACCTGTAGACACGCAGGAGCTCTGCCCTGGGGTTTATTCACATCAACAGCCACAAGCTGCCAACCTCCAGCAGCATCTTCATGGAACATCTTGAAAGGGAAAATTGTTGTCAGAAATGTTTTACATGCCAATAAATACAAGTGAAATCTAATATATTGCCCTTGATGATAGCCAATTTAAAATAAGAGGGAACTGGTTCCTACTGCTACAAAAAAGCGCAACATGCTCTTTTTCCAACATTAATAGATTCTGAATCTCACTCAGATAGCATCAAACACGATGTGTCTCTATTGGTCTTAATGTAGAAACAGATTCAATTAACCTCTGATCAGTATCATTAGATGGTGGTACCTGTTCAGAATAAATTCCTTAACTAAGGTAAGCTTGTCCTGAGACAACACAAATACACTGTGACCAAAAAAATCACTTTCATTTTGAATTTGGAAATAATAAACAATTTTGTCTTTTTTACTGACAAAGTTATTTTACTTCAAGGATCAGACTTTATTTTTGTTGCATGATGCATATCAAGAGTCGCTGTACAGTCCTTCTGCACTGTTATCCAGAGCTTACAATTTCTGCAAAGGGCTCTAATGGCTCTAACGACGTCAGTGAAGAAGGCTCTCTTGACCACAGTGTTATTTACAATTTACCAATAACCTCTGGAAGTGCAGGTGTAGGCATTCTGGCTTTTCTTTTTTCTCAGAAATTAGGACATAAAAACATGCAGACTGTTGGACATAAGGAACAGTGAGAAACCATGTCTGGAAGTGATTAACACTGTCCCTGTCCTTCAAAATGTCCTTGAAAGAAAATTAATGGCTCTAGCATTTTGAATTGCCACCTGAGAGTCTGCATATACTGTGTTATGAAGTGGGGCAAAGTTCACTCCTCACTCCCACCTTTTCCTTGACACCCATTACCCAAACAGGTCACCTCGAGAACACCGCCACAGCAGTGCAGTGGAAGCTTAAAAGCCATCCTAAAAGAAATGTTCATTAGACTGGGGGCAGTGTCACACAAAGACGGTTGTAATATGGCTGAGTCCTTACGCTGTATCTCTGCACCAGGAAGAGGTGCCAGCTCAGATCAGCACTGAGTTACTCCTCTTTGTACCATGCTTTAATGTGCAGTGCTAAAGTGCTTTACAAGAACCTCCTTTTATCCTTCTCCAGAGACCCCTTCCCTGACTTTGGCTGTCGGACACTCATTTTCTTTTCTATAGGACTAAGTTTCGGAAACAGCTTAATGATTTATGAAGTAAGAAAATGAAGCAAGATATTGCTTTTTTCAAGGTTATTTCATGCAGAAAACAAGCAAGATTTTTAACTTTCATCTGGTGCTTTGAACAGGAAATCCTGTAAGAAATTTTCTGCTCTTCTTAATACAGAAAAAGATAAATTGCTTTTATAGTTTGGTAAGCCAAACTCCCTTTATGTCCCATTATGCCAGTGACTCAAGGAACAAAGTAATCATTTGCTTGTTTGCAGCTAACATGCTGTTTTTATTTTGCATGTTGCAATTTATATTCAACATGTTCAAATTCTTTGGCATGGTGACATTGTCTTGGGAATTTCTATTGTCCTTGAAATTCCTTAATGTTAGCTGCCTCCTGAGTTTTTATACATAGATCTCTCTGTTCCAGCTTCTAGTTCAGAGTACATGGGTTAAGCCTATATAGCTCAAGAATTTGTCCCATCAGAGATGAAATTAACATTATGTTCCTCAGGCCAAGTATGTGTCATATGAAAAAGTTCTTTTTTTGTTAGATTTTAAATTGATATACAATCATAGAATCACAGAATGGTTTGGGTTGGAAGGGACCTTAAAGATCAACCAGTCCAACACCCCTGCCATGGGCAGGGACACCTCCCACCAGACCAGGTTGCCCAACCTGGCCTTGAACACTTCCAGGGAGGGGCACCCACAACTTCCCTGGGCAGCCTGTGCCAGTGTCTCACCACCCTCACAGTAAAGAACTTCTTCCCCCTTTCAGTTTGAAACCATCACCAAGTCTGCTTTGACAAAGACATATATAGAGCAGAAATTATTGACACAAAGTCTATTTGAGGAAAAAAAAAGTAGCAGCAGGCAGAAAAGGACTAGATTTACATATGGATTACAGAAATATCCAAAGGAATATCAGAAAATACTTAATAAATAATTTTGAAACACAGAAATCCTCTGGCTTAAGAAAATAAAAAATCTATAGCTACAGAGGTTAGAAAAATTTTCCTCATGGGAACATTTCTCATATCTGTCTTCCTAAGAGCTTTTTGCAGGCAGTCAGTACTGGTCCCTCATAGATGGCAAGATGCAATAGCGTGGAAAAGCCTGACCTATTGTACATTCAGGATACATATTATGATTGGTACAATAATGAGTGGGAGAACTTAAATCTCAACCCATTAGGTCTCGTTTTTCATACTGGATTTTTCACAATACGCAGCCCACACATAGTATACTTTCTGTCATTACTTCTTCCTACCCAATAATATACTCTAGAATTTATATTTATATGAAAATTAATATATCAACTTTAGTATGTAGTTTTCATGTAGCAACATGAAAATTCAAGTAAATCAGAAAAAACACTAACAGGAATTTTTTGCTTATTATTAATTCATAAACTAAATCAAATCAAGTTCCCAGAGAATCTCAGCATCTCGGGTGTTTCACCTGGGTGGTGGCAGTTGAAGTAGTACTGCTCCTGGACCCCCACATCTGCTGGAACTGCACTCTAATTTCCGCAAACGTTTCAATGATGACTGCGATGAAAACATTCTGAAAAAAGTTAACAAGAAAGAATGGGTGACAAAAAGCTCAGCAAGCCGAAAAGAGAAGAAATTAATTCTAATATGATCTACAATTCAGACAGGCTTAAAAGAACATATTTTTCAGTACCTTAACAAGCCAGGCCAGAAAGAAAATTAAGGTGATGAAATAGAAATATGAACGCCACCGGGGAAAGCTGTCGATTGCTCGATACATAAGGAACACCCAGCCTTCCTGAGAAGCAGCTTCGTAAACAGTAAATATGCTTGTACCTGTCAGAGGAAAAATGAAAATATTAGGCATTAAACCTTCTTGAAAGCTTTCAATATCAGCAAACAGTAACCTTTTATCTATTCTATTTTCCTTTTCTCTAAAGGGTACCAGTTTCTTCCTCCTCCTAAGAGAAGTTTTTCAGGTGCATTTCCACATTTCTTCCTTTTGCAATCGAATATGAATTAGTTTTGTATCAGACCGGACTCCCTTCTCTCCCTGACCACACATGCATAATCCCTTAGTCGGGTTCACTGGCAGTATGCAAATATCTCCAAGGGCAGAATTTGTTCCATCATGTGACTTCAGCAGCAGCCGTGAGAAAAGGCAGATTTAATTAAAACCATCAGGATCAACATTCAGTAGGTGAAAGGAATCACTGTTAATAACAACACCACCGAGTAAGCAGCAATACGCCAAGAAGGTGCCTGACACTAGCAAGCACAATTAAGTGTATATAACAAGCTGCTGAACAGTGTTGAAGTTCAGGCAGGTCGCCAGGGTAGGTGTATTAACATACGTATGTTGTCCTAAAAACCTTTAAACCTTATTAAGTTGAACTTCCAATATCACTCTAGGGAGGGGAGGAGGAGATGTAAGAAAAGTTATGAAGGGTTTATGTGTGCAGAAACCATTTTTGAATAAAAGCTACAAAATCACTCATTTTAAACTTAAGATCCAAACACATCCTAATGTCTCCTTCAAAATACAGACTATGGTTAAGGCTCATACAGCATCCTTGTTTGAAGTAATTTTTTGTTCCGAGAAGGAACACAATTAAACTGTGAAATTAAACTGTGAAATTTCACAAACTGCTGTGAAATCATGGACTTGTCCTCCAGCCACCTGCTAGCTCTGCTCCACTATGGCTTCATTTCATGAGACATCTTGGATAAAAAAGAGGGAGCATGACGAGTCCTGCCCTTAGTGAAATATAGCAGCTGCTACCAATGTATAGGCAGTAAACATGAACCAGTAGACTACTTGGTTCCATTCACAGAGAAAGGAGTGGTTCTAGTCAGAAACTCCAGAGTCCAGGAGTTTCTCCCAAAAATCACACCAGCCTATAAGGAGCTCTCTGCTGCTATTCGCCCACTGAATTTGCAGCATCTACATTCTTTTGTCCGCTAACACAGGTGGGATGAACCTGGAAGTGTTTTTGCCTTAGGGTGTTCCTTTTGCAGATAAATCTTCACTAATAAGAGGAGACAGGAATGAATGGAAATTTTTGCTGTATAACCTCACTTCTTTGATATGTAGGTGTTTAATGGTTAACATGGTCATGGAAGGCAGGCAAAAATGTTAATCCATTCTGTTAGTTTTTCTGGTTATTTGATTCCTTCCTATTTACTGCATATGGTTCTCAGGACCAAGAGACAGAAATAAAAATTTAAAAAAAAAGAAAAAGTATTCAAGTATAGATAGCAAAACCCTTTCTGTTCCTTCAGAAAAGAGAGTGGTCTCTATCAATAGTGAAATACTCATCAGTGATTACTTCATGGGTATTTTGCATTTCAAAAATTCATAAAGTAATGGTTCAATTATCTAATATTATACTGTTGCTGAACTGATTAAATTATTGAATAAAACAGTGCTGTTGAGGACAGGCAGAGATTAAGAAAAAAAAGGAATCTATTAAAAGTTGCTGGCTAGGAAACTGTCATTAGTCATTACCAATGGGAAAGTCACAGAGAAGATTAGTAAAATAGAGGGGATGTCATGCGAAGTATTTATAACACATACACTGGGCCATCTGCCATAGTGAAGCAATACTGTGAATGGATAAAAATGCACAATCAGCCCAATTAAAATAATATGTGTTCATCTGTGACACTAAAGTAAAAATATGTCTTGCTTATAACTGGTACAGGTGTTCTTAAGGCTATTAGAAAGCAATCACGGCTAAGAATATACATTCTTAATTAATATATGTGACTAGAGATTAATAAAGCTTTCAATACTGATGCCAAGAACCATGCTGCTAACTATCTTTGTAAATACTGTTTCAACTGGATTCAGAATAAAGGCATGACAGTAAGGGAACTAACACCATGAAATGTTGTGCTTTCAAAAAGAAGAGTAATTCTTATTTAACATCTGCCTTTCTGCATGTTTTCGCTCTTCTAAAAGTAACATTTAAAGACAATCAGCTACCTATTGTATTTTTTCTGAGTATTTCTTTAATATCTAACTACATCTTCCTAAAGCCAATGCATAAGTTATTAAAAAGACCCTACTTTCACAGCAGTATGCTCTGTTTTCCTCACCATGTTCAAAGCCACATGGAGGGAGAGAAAGTATCAAAATTTTAAGTGATGGTGGGATCCATCACAAAAAAGATACACATGGCGATGCTGCCGTGTACACCTAACTTATGTCCCTTAGATCAAATTGCAAAATTATGCTTTTTCAAAGGTGTCAGTATTCTGTCTATCAGTGACACAGTGATTTCCTTTAGTTCAGAGGGCTTAAATCCTGACCACACAGTGCCAGGAGTCCCATGGTTAGGGCAGATGAGAGCACAGGACCTCCTGTAGTTTGTGTAAGAAAAGCAGGAATATGGGTGGCAGGGTGAACAAGGGCTTCAACACCTGCAGAGCCTGGCTATTCAGATACACAACAGGCCCATATACATCAAAATGTAGTCATCTCTTGTCAATGTCCTGAACATTTAGATGTTATTCATGTAATCTAACTACAGGCATCAGCAAGACATTGCGGTCATGAAAAAGCTTTGAACCATGAAAAGGGTTAAACACACGACTATGGCTTTATTCTTCTGTTTAGGTATATTGGTATGGGTAACTTGCTGAATTCGGGAGTAGGTTTTCAACATTGACATCTAGAATATTACTAAATCTTAGTAAATAAATATATCAAGAAAATATTTATGATAGTTTTCCTATTTGTTTCAATAGATGGTTAAACTTTGGTGGCAAGAAAAATTAAGGTCACTTAGGAGGATCTTTCTGATGACAACAGAGGTAAAATAAAGGAATATACTTTGAAATTCTTTTGAGTGCTTTTGTTTGAACTTGTCTAATAAATCCCACATTTTGATGTTACAATAAAACAAATCCTTTAAACACGCTGATGGTTAATCAAAAGAAGGAAGGAAAACATTTATCAAGACACAAAATAAAACTAAATAAATCAATATAATAATCTGTATCCATCTCAAAAGACTGCTTTTATGCAAGCAATAAACACTTCTACCTTTGGAAATGTTTTACAACTGCACATGGTCATTATCAAAGACAAAAGAAAAAAAAGGCCAGAAAATGAAAGATCTAGTGAAGTATGGGAAAAAGTGATTGAAACTTGCTCAACTTATGCAACATTTTCACTTGCTTCATACCATATAGAAGAAAAGACAACAATCAGACACAAACTGTATACCTACTAATAATGCATGTTTAGATATATGAGCATTCAGCACTGAATTGCAGGAGGTTTAAGTCTTCTTCAATACATATTTCTTGCAAATCCTCCAGCTAGAAGCATTAGCCTGAAGGGACATGGAGGAAGGGGTTGCCTTAATACCTAAATTGTTATAATAAAAGAAAATTTTACTGCTTTCCATGCCTCATCAGAAAGCAAGGTCACCTGGCTCTTCCACGCAATACAGATGAATAGAGTACCAGGGGAAAAAAGAATTAAAAGAGTCAGAGCACACAGGTAATGATTTTCCATAGGAGAGTGAAGAAACCTATTCTGCCAAACCCTTGTCTTTTAAATACCTAAGGAATATAGAAGGTATTTCTTTAAAAAAAGGACTCATAGTTGACAGACAAAGAATATAATTATGCAGAGATGCTATGTTACATAGTGTATTTTATATTTATGTGCATTTTGTAAACACACAGGATTTTGTTTGTGTCTGTGCCTCTGTGACACCACCATGCTCCATGCCATCAGCTCTTGCTATTCTCAGCTCATTCTGTAAAAGGACATCCTGAAAAAGTGAGTGCACTGAATAACTGTAGTTTTATAACTGCAGAATTGAAGGATCAGAGCTAAAAGGTCACATAGAAAATTCACTAAATCTGGATAAATAACCCTATCCTCCTAACTCTTACGTTACATTCTGGCATCTTGATTCAAAAATCCCATATTATTAGAGGAAGAGAAGGCACAATGTCAAGGTGTTGTCTTTTATTAATATCTGTGTGCTATCAAATTTGTAGCTATTAAAAGTGAGAAACAAAAAATGAAAATTAAGTTTAAGTATGCCATTAACGACAGCATTTTCTGCATGTGTAATCTATGTTTATTGACTATCTTGTCTTACCATGTGAGGGTTCTCAGTTTTCTTGTGCCTGCTGTGAAGCTGCTGAGAAAGAAAATCTACAGGAGGGCCACTTCATAGGAAAAAAAGGTCGATTTTTTAATTTTTTCTTTTTAATCAGAAATTATTCAGGAAAGTAAAAATGCATGCGTTGTTACTGAAAGTTTAAAATACTACACATTGTCACCCATAAAATGCCACAGATGCCAGCCAGTAACAGGCTCCTTTTCGTTACTTCACAGTAGCCACTAGATGACGATCGTGCACCTCGGACACATCTGGAACATCAGGCAGCGGAGGAGCTACCGCCCCGGAGAGCACGGGCTGGTAACCTCCCGCTGCGCTGGCTTAAGGATTGATTTTTCTATTTTCTGGCAAAACTAAGCAGACTTCTAGCAGGTGCTGCTGTCTAATTTAACTCTTTTTGTTGTGCTGAATACCGAAAGGCAGCCTTCCTTAAGGAGGTTTTGTGAAAGTTATGTCCATACACAATTCTTCTGTGCTCTCATCTCCCTTCCTTTTCCCTGGGCCTCATGAGCTAGATTACTGCATGATTTACTGTACTTCTATTATAAGAGAAAAGGCTCTTTTTTCTTTTTCATTTTAGTTAAATATCAATAAAATAAAACATTTAGCTGATGTGTTTTGCAGTTTACCAGGACAGTCATATGATAACCCATATGATTGTCTTCCCATTTGTAGCTACTCAATTCA